ATCCATCCATCCATCCATCCATCCATCCATCCATCCATCCATCCATCCATCCATCCATCCATCCATCCATCGTATCTGTCTGTCTAAACGTCATGTGTAAACGTCATGTGACTTACTATGGTGAAATTAAATATTACTGATAATGTCTCTGTCACTGAATTGTTTTTGCGGCAGCAGTTAAACCAACTTATCAGACACAAGAACTACACAGCATGCCACTCAACTCTCCTGCAGCTACATGCTGAGAGGATGAGTCTCTGTCGCACTTTTATTTAAAATAGAATCAATTTATTGTCGAGTTCACACAGTAATTTGTTGACTTCAAAGCTGAGAATTTTTTTAAAAGTCTTGTTCAAACATTAGTTGAGCAAAATTTTATGTCATAGATGTTTTAACAGCATGCTTTAAACATCCGAGTTACACTGTTGTTATTTAGTGTAAAATTATTGTTCATTTAAAAAAAATCTAACATATTTAACACTTGATTGTTTTGTAGTTTCCCAGGACAAATTGTTCAATGAACATTTGGTTTCAGCCAGTGGTAACCCTGCACTGGCCATGAGGAGGAAGAAGCACACAGAAAAAGAAGTCCACGCTCATCTGATCAGTGTGGTTTCAGTACGATTGAGAGAGGGCTACACCATCAGAGACATCAGCCTCACAAAAGGTAAAATAATCTGTCTGTATTCAGTCTCAACACTGGTTTAGAGTCTCAGTGATCCAGGACACAATCCTAAGAAGGCACATAGAAGGTAACTGGCTTCTTTTGTTTCTTGAAGATGTTTCACCTCTCATCTTTGTGGTTTCACAATTATTCACACCAATTATTCACATACGACCAAAATGACTGACAGGATGGATGGGTGGGTCAGCGCCCATAATGACCTGTCATTGTGATTGTTCCAGTTGACCATATACTGTACCTAGAACTTCCAGTCCAGGATTAGAATGGAAGAACCTTTTTAAGAGATGAAACATCTTCAAGAAATACAAGAAGCCCAGATGTCTTCAATTTAACCATTTACTGTAGGACCAAGTGAAATAATTATTATCTTTACCAAAGTTTGACCTCTGTGAAACACATCAGAGCCGATGTCTGAGCTTGGTGGGAAAGGTCTTTCTCTGGTCATAATGAAGTCTATTTTCTTTAGGTGGGACGCAGTTAGAGTTAAAGTTGGTTCTGTTGTGGAAACACAACATGCACATTGAGTACCTTGCAGCTGCTTCCTGGCCTCTGGATCCATCCAACAGAATCACAAGGGTGGAGGTGACAATGGAGGGCAGTTATGACATTCTGCATGACATCAGCTGCACTCAGAGGAAGCCCATCACCAGTCCGTATCGGACCTCTGTCATTCGTCGCTTCTGGAACACACTTCAGAGGTACTTATTTCTCTGTGCGTTTTTCATGTCCTTTCCTGTCCCCAGCCAGTCAAAGAAGAGGCTCATTTTGAGCCTGTTTCTGGTTCTGCTGAAGGTTTCTTCTTGCCATCAGGGAGTCATGTTTGATCAGGACATGGGAAGTAAAGTTTTAATGCAATCTGCTGGTTTTGTTAGAGAGACAATAATTTACCAATTCTCATTTTGGTATACACTGGTTCTGACTGTATTGCATTGAAATGGATTATTTGTTGAAATCAGGTCTCTCTTGTAAATGAGTCCTCGAGGCTCAATGGGATTTACCTGTCTAAATAAAGGTTGACTGAATGAAAATTGAACTGAGGGTTTGTAATTGACTGGATTCATGATGGAGACTTTTTTGAATAGTTCCTTGTGATGACTTGTGTGTTGACACGATGCTGTATAAAGTCAGTAACAACTGTAATGTCGTGTGAATGTGAAATGCATGTAATGCATTTTAATGTGCTGCATGTCTTTTTCCAGCATAAACCAGACTGATCAGATGTTGGTGCACCTCCAGTCGTTCAATTCAATTCCTGAGAACTACACAATCCCAGAGAGCACCAAGAACGGAGTGCCCCTCTTCTACATTCCTCCTGGTTCTACAACCCCGGTACCGTACTGTCTTTACTGTTGGATAAATTAAATAACCTTTCATCATCTCTTTACTCAAATAAGCCACTCTGAGGACACAAGAAGATTTTTCAACCCAGTTTATTTGCAAGGGGGCAGAGTTCACAACAGGCTTACACAGATGTTATACTGAAGCTCCGGTCGCAAGGTCTGCCCACGGACAAAAAGTTAGGGAAAGTTTAAATGTACGTTATCAGACAGAGGCAAGGTCAAAATGACCTCTGCTTTCCAGCTTACAGACAAAGAGGAGGCCTTGGAGTTATTAGAGAAGCAGGCTCCGTGCTTCTTCTGCAGGTTCCCCCTGAACAGACAACTCTTTGAACTCACACACATTAATTTAATATTAGTAAGTGATAACATCCATGACCTTTACCTAAATTCCCCTGACATTTACTGTATCTGCTGAATGTACTTTCAGTCAGTACATCGTCTGAATGTTTCAAGAGTTTCTTTTTTCTTTTGGCTGCTCCCTTCTTCAGGAGTCGCCACAGCAAGTTCGCTTGCACTAAGACTTAGCAATTGTTTTACGCCTGATGCAATCACTAACCAACAAGCTACCACAGCCCACATGTGGAGCAGGTGTTGGCTTCTAGGGCTGTTGGGTGTTAAGGGCCCAGGCAAATAAGGGTGGAGGGTGCTTCACCTTTCCCACCCACATTTAAGATGTTGGGATTCGAACTGGTGACTTCCCGATCACAGGTTCACCTTCTCTAACCTCTGCTCCATCACACCCCCAGCTATTTCAGTAAAAAGTAGCTTATAGAAGAAGCAGTTCCCAGTTTCTGAAAACTGGATAAGTTTAGTTCCTTCAGCCTGTATGAGATCGAGTCAGGATGAGATTTTGACTAAAAGTCACTTTCAGTCAGTCTGGCTCACAGCCAGAATGTGGTGAAAAAGAGAAATTGTTATTACCTAAAGTATCTCAAAAGGCAAACACCTGGAGGAAAGTAAGATTAGAATAAAAAGTATCACTTTACTTCCTAGACAGGCTGTTGGGGTTGTGTGGCTGTATGTTTGCATGTCATTCATAGTTCTGCTCTGAAAAATTTCAAGTTGGTGAGACAGGAAAATTATTTTTTATAGCAACTGTTTTGTCTTATTGTGAGAAATGTCACCTGTGTGACCTCATGAAAAGCTTGTATATCATTATGCCAACCCTGAATGGCTAATACAGTATTATCTTTGTCAGGAAGGGTCTAGAAGCTAGTTTGCAATTCTACTATTGGGTAGCAAGCTAACTATCCACTAACTAGATCCCTGGGTGCCTGTTCTCAGCAACACAGTTGCCTGCTAAATCAAGGAAGCAGTAGTTTCCTCAGCCAACTCCTTTTTTCAGTTTTTATTGTTTTTTGTTTGTTACATCACAGATCACTTGAAATGGATCTTGAGATCAAAGATCACAATTCAGCCAATAATCACAACAAACATACTCCTTTTTTTTACACACAGTAATTTGCATACATTATTTATCCTTGAAATGCATGATCATGAAATCAGAATTTACATGTTTTCAGACATGGTTCACTTTCCATTTTCTAAAACGTTCATGCAATGGTGCTCGAAAGTTTATGAACTCTTTATAATTTTATATTTCTGCATAAATATAACCTAAAACATCATCAGATTTTCACACAAGTCCTAAAAGGAGATAAATGGAACCCAGTTAAACAAAGTGAGACAAAAATATTATACTTGATTTATTTATTGAGGAAAATGATCCAATATTACATATTTGTGAGTGGGTTCATGACGTATGTGTCTTAAATCTTTGTTTGTTTGTCAGTTAATGGTGCTGAAGCTGGACTTGCAGCAATTTTGATATCCTTCTCTTTAACTGAATGATCTTCTCTGTTTCAGGTTTTGTCTCTTCAGCACAGCGGATCCAAAGACTCATCTCAGTCCCAGTTTGCTTTGTACTGGAAACCTATACTATCCATGGATACCAACTTCTGGCAGAGATGGCTCCACATGCATCGCATTACAGTCATCCTGGAACACGATTTGTGAGGATAACTGGTTTTCTCCTACACTTTAACATGTTTTTCACATTTGACTTTAAGTAGCCACTTCATTTTTAGACAAAACTTGAAAGATAAAGATAAATGAAATAGAAAGAAAGTCAAACAATCAAGAAATGTCTATTAATTGTACCGTCATTTTCAAAAATAGGTAATTACCAGTAGTCATTTGAGCAACCCCTGTTCTCTGAAAACCTAGTGAGGTATTTCACTAAGGGTGAAGCATGGAATCTCCATTATCAATCTCTCTACCCATCTAATCCGCTTGCCTCGTCTTTCACCCGCACATCCACCTGCTCACCCGTCTGTCCACCCAGCCCTCTTGAGCTGAGATGCAGAAGCACCTTCCCACCATCTGGATAAAATTGCAAACAGGAAGCATGCACAGATAAAGCATGCAACTAATTATTTCTGGCTTGTTTTACAGCCAGCAGCAGGTTTGCTTTCCGTGATAAAACCCTCAAATCTATGCACAGAATGGGATTAAAAGGCAGTCTTGAGATGGCTTCCCGAAGTACTGGTCACTCCCGCAGCAGCAAAAGGTATTCACTGCAGGGTTTAACAAACATCTTTCATAAACCTTTTAATTAGAGGAGGCTGCCCAATTGATGTATTTCCAAAAACCACATGACATGCTGAAATTGCAGCCTTGAAAAGGATGATGAAATGCTAATGAACAAGGCATTTCCATAATCTTAATAAGTCCTGTAGGTTTCATAACACCAGTAATAGAAATGAAACTGCATTTCTTCTCCCACACTAACTCAAACTCACACCACACTTTTATGGAGAGCCTATGGATTATGGGTTGAACGACTACTTAACTTTTAAACTCGACATTAACATAATAAAACTTGAGTAGAACTCGAGTAGTTGATGGCGTCATAGGATCTCAAGATGCAAAAATAAATAAATAAATAAAACCGCAAAAAAATGTCATTTATTATTTACAAAAAAATGACCAACAAAACATTGGGAGCATATATTATGCTCCTGCCATTTTTCATACTGGAAATAAGTCACAGGAAAACCAAAACGATTAATTATTATTAAGCTGCAAAAGTGAAAGAAACGTGCAGCACGTCAAAAACGAAACTAAAAACAGTGGGGCGGTCGACCACCCCGCACCACCACCAGCTGTGGTGCGCATTAAGTTTAGTTTTAGAGATTAATATGTTTATAGTTTTTTTATAGGTTTAGAGATCAACATTTTTTGGTTTTTGTTTGTGAAACAAGGTCAGAGGAAGCTGGTTCTGGTTCGGTCGATTGGACCCGGTGTTACACCATATTCTGTGACCTGCAACAGTGCATGCAACACCGCCCCCTACAGTCACAATATACGGTGGTCACAGAATATGGTGTAACACCGGTTCGCAACAAGCTCCAAACAGTCAGGAAATTGATTCATTTTCTGTTTCCTTACGATAGTTGAACCTGAAGATTCATCTTTAGTGAAATATTTCCATACCATTGATGTATTTCTACCTGTTTGCCAAGACTGGACCTGCTCCGCTCCATCCGTCTGCTTGGAGGAATCCATTTTGTAGCCCGCGCCCAGTGCAGATCACGTGACACAATGACGTAACTGCGACGTAATGACGTCACTACGAACACGCTACGTGAAATTTAAAAACTTGTTAGATGTCCTAGGAATCGATGTGTCGATTATTCGAGTAGTCTGTTAAAGCCCTAGTATGGATGGCACCTTGGTGCTCTGAACAGCCTCAATCACATGTAAGGGAGGACCAGATATTCAAGCTGAGCCTCCCAAGACTCAGGTAAATCTAAACTCTTGGGATGTGGGAGGAACAATCAGACAATGAGCCTTTGGCACCAAGTCCCTGCACACCAACAGCAGCCACTGTTGTAAACAGAAAAGATTAATCAGCTCCACCATTTATGGCCTGCTTTCTGACTTTTAGACAAATTTGCAGCCACTAAATGATGCTTGTTTATTACAAGTCACGTTTTGCCTTAAAACTCTGTAGGTTGCCATCTTGTTTTTCCATTCATTGTGAGCAAATTGTGGAACTGAGCAGTCAAGAGATTTGACATCCATCTTCTTTGGGCAAATCAGTTGTTGAAACATTGTCTGAGTATTGTATTTATGGACATTTATCTTTATGTTACTGTTTATATTTATTGTGGATGTTAATTTAGGCTTTATTTATATGCTCTGTTGGATTTGCTTTATCAACAGTTTGCTAACTACATTGGTAGCCATATGTGTTACATTGGCTGAATTGAGTATAATATGCTGGAATGTGTTGTTAATATGTTCTTTCAAGTAGTTTATCACAGTAATTTTTATATTTTAATTTCTTGATTTCAGTTTTACCCAATTCTCATGCTGTCAGTGCTAATCAGCACTGGACGCTAAAGCTGACAATGACCAGTGTGTGTGGAACGTGTTATCTGTCTAGTTAAGGAAAAGAAACTCTGACGAGGGCAGAACAGTCCATGACAGCCATTGTTCTTTTACTCAATTCAGAACTCATGGTCCTGTTCACTGAGCTCACCTTGTTTCTGCCAGTGAAGCATTTGTGGTCAGAGCTAATAACCACTGTTCCCAGCAGGGTGCTTAGTGATGAATATATCTGGGTCTCTCTCTCCAGTGCTGCAGAGCACACATCTGGGAGACATCACCATACACCTGAGAAGACAGTTTACAACTTAGCTGCAGGGAAGAGACATGCTGTTAAATTCAGCACCTTTACAATCCCCCAAAGAACAATAGAACGACTGAGGCACCTGTTTCCTATGTTCTATGTAGGAACTAGCACGTTCTTGGTTTCCATTCAAGCTAAGGCTTCACAGGCAGTGTGTCTTCCTTTAATTGTGCTGATATGTCGATCAGAAAATGTTTTTATGTAAATTCATTTTATAATTTTTTTGTGTATCTGCCTTTTGATGTTTTTGTCAGTGATTCAGTAGCATCAGCTGATGAAATGTTGTCCTTGCAGACCTGTTCCCAAACACTTGCATACAGCTGGAAACAACGGTCGTTACAGCACCATTCAGTGTCGCATTTCCCACTCTGCGCTCACATCCTTGCTGAAGGACTGCAGCAGCTTTGTGCTGGTGGAAGGTTACTCGTATGTCAAACTCATATACAGGTGAGATGCACAATGCTTATATCTTCAGTTCTTTGCAGTTTACATGTAGAGCATAAAATTGACATCTAATCTGGTTTTTAAGAATGCTGTAATCAGTTGCTGAGTAAGGTCTTCTTAACACTGCATTAAGTCTCCATTAAGTTCTCCACGATTATTAGTCATGGCCACTCATCCTGTCTTTGTTTTGCTTCTAGCATACACGTTCTTAAGAACTTAAACCATAAACTTTGTAGGTTGTTGACATTCTGAGCCCTCGATCCATGAGTTGAATATTAAATTATTCTATCTAGAACCTTTTCACATTTCTTGCAGATAGTGTCAATGCCGAAGAAAGCTTTAACATGTTAGCTTGTATACTAGTTATCTGATCACTGTGCTTCTTCGCCATGCTCTAAAGATCAAAAATAGTTCCAATTTTACCAAAAAAGTTTTTCGTCTAGCGGTTTAGAGCAGCCGTTACTTTTTTCCAAACTGTCTCTGACATCATCGACTCCAGTTAAGAGATAGTTTCAGCCATAACATCTTGTCATTCATTGTTTCCCCTACAATTATAGAAGCAGGGTGCCCTGCCCTGTCAACAGAACCGAGCGCCCCCCTGTCGACAACAGTCGGCACTGATGTAGCGCTAAGCTAGCGGTGCGCAATACAGACGCGCTAACTATAAAGCAATATGTAGTGCTCCGATTCCCTCACACTGAGCCATCACCCCCCTCCCCCTCGCCCTCCTGCTCAAAAACTTTCTGGACAAACAGCACACAACACAGACATGTCCGCCCACCCTCCCACCCCCTGGTCGACAAAAATCACGGAAGAGTTGAGCGTCCTGCCAAGGCAAGTAATGTAAGGGAAACACTGTCACTGTCATTAATATATATAAATAAAGGGTAAATGGAAAAAAATATATATATTTTATGGGGTGGGGGTGGGGCTGTCTCCAGGGTTTTCAAAGACTCAGCATTCATCCAGATATGACTCATAAGGAGTAGAGGTAATGATAAATCTTTGAACATGTAGCTGTGGCACACAATGAACAGATTTAAAGTATTAATTACCATATTATCTCATTCCTACAGCTTGTCCTACCCCATATATGTTTATTGGAGGCCCCTAAACCTGCCTGGGTTAAAGGTTATATTGTTCAGAAAATGGTTCATGCGTCTGCTCTGCCAGCTACATTTTTCTTTTGATGCTCTGCATGCTTCATGCCCTTTGAGTCCAATGTTTCAGAGACACTCTACATGATTTGTGTAAAGAGATTTATGTAAAGTGTTCACTTGTGAGTTCAACACTCAAGAGATTCTTCTGTAAAATTCTGAACACCTTAAGATTGATTTAATTTGTCTCCACAGTTTGTCTGAGCAGATTCCCACCTCCTTCTACTTGGTCCGTTTCATCTCGAAGACACCCTGCATAATTCTACGTTTGGGCTTCCCTATAGGTACACCAGCCAATGTTAGAAACAAGGTACTAAATAAGAAATTAATACTGAGAACTGTGTTGGTATCATCAAATGCATGTCTACCACATTCCATCAAAGAAAAGTGAGAATTTTTAGTTTAATGCTTTTCTGTTCAGTTATTTTAGATTTATTTGTGGTGATGCTCTTATGGTAAAGGGTGATTCACAGTTTTCAGCATTTTCATACGTGTGCAAAACCCTCTTTTGGAGACCCACTTTCCCCCCTCCAAATGCGCACAGAAAAATTATTACTTTAACAAACCTATTTTATTATAAATGATGCTGAGACGTAAATTTCAAGTGCTACATCAGCCTTTCTCAAAGCATCGAGCTCTCCCCAGTTGTCCACAAGGTCCTACATAGGGTCTAAAAAAGACAAGTCTGGTCCTCTGGACATTCAAAAAACACAACAAAACAAAAAAAAGTAGAAACGTTTTGTCTTTCATCTGAAATACTTTTTCAGTCTTAAGAAGTCTTTCAGATGAAAGACGTAACGTTTCAACTTTTTTGTTTGTTTGTCTTTTGAATGTCCAGAGGACCAAACTTAACTTTTTTAGATTTTTCTACCTGGATTATTGACCATACATCAGGATACTACATAGAGTTTTTTTTATCAATCTTAATTAAATCTTCTTTGACTGTTTTGCAGTATTAGCGGCCTACAGTGAAATAAATTGGGAAAAAGGACAAAACGGCAAGAAAGCAAGAGAGCAGTGGTAGCCCTACGGTGCCAGCATTTAGAACAGTGATTTCTAGGCCAAAATAATGTGCTTGATGGGCGGTCCGGGTCGGTCTCGGGCTTTTGATGCGGTTTTACAAATCATACTGCACAAAGAAAACTAAATAAGAATGCACAATATAAAAATTTGTTAATCTACTTGTTGAGGAGGAAGCGGGTTCGACCAGCCGGTTGAAAGACGTAAAAAAATGTCCAGTTAAGCTTCAGATGGATCACCTGATCACTGACAGCGCACGTCTCCGCAACTGCTGTCATCTGCAGTGAAGGAAGTAGCAGCATCTACAAAAGCTGAAGCGAGCAGCGCGTTCAATTAAAATAGCCTTGTTCTGTATTTTTCCAAATAATTTAGCTCTAAAAATATTTTTGTTCATCTGTATAATAGCCTATCTTTAGAGTAGATTTTTTTGGCTATTCGTTTTGTATGTTAATATTCATTTGGTGGCTTGTTAATGAACAAGAACTCTTATATCTTCCTTTCTTTGAAATACATTTTTAAAAGATCATGTCAAACTGATTTGCTTACAAAAGCAGTAAAAGCTTAATTTAAAATAATGTCAGGCTTTTTTTTTTTTTTTTTGAGTTCTGACCTGTAATTACAGTCAAATGATTGGGTCAGGCTCGGACAAAATGCCTATGGGCTCGGGTCGGGTCAAGTCGGTCGGATTTTTTAGGCCGAATGCTATTCTACCAGCATCATCAACCGTTATAAAAAAGGTTCTTATGTGCAGCAAAATTACAAAAGAGAAACTCATCATGTAATAAAAACAAACCAAAGCAGAGGAAGTGTTAGTAGTCACCATAGTATTTTCTTTGTCAAACATTTCTCTGGGTACTCTGACTTCCTCAATCAGTAATGGACTATCGACTTGTGCAGTGTACAGGGAAAGACTCCCTGACCCCCATCCATAATTAGGAGGAAGTGGCAGGGAATGGATGGATGGATGGATGGATGGACAGATGGCGGGAGTACGTCAAACTTTGTTTTAACACTTTTACTGTGGTTTTTTTTTTAACCTAATGTTTTAATTTCTGACATTTACAACATCAATTTTACAACATAAAACGACAGGAGAAGCAATTTTCCTTTCACTTAATGAGTTTTTTGTGAAGAACCCTCTGGACTGATCAAGATGTGTTGGTATTTGCACTGATTGTGCATATGTCATGACAGGAAAACAGACAGGACTAATAGCACACATTAGGGCAGTATCACCATCTGCAAATGCAACACATCATTGCATCTGCAGCGAACAGCTGGCTGTGAAAAAAATGCAGCAGTGCCATAAATCTGTTCTGGGTGGGTCTGTGAAAATAGTTAACAGGATTAAAGGAACGCCACTGAACACTCATTTTAAAGTGCTGTGTGATGAAGTTGGCAGTGAACACAAAACTTTTTCACACAGAAGTTCGCTGCTTGTCACACAGAAAAGTTCTCCCCCATCTGCACTTCAAGAAGAGGTATAATTATTCCTGGACCACACTGATGAACTGTATGACAGGATACACAGTTCCAGTGGCGTTCAAAACAGGCATACTTGGCTGATACTTTCAGCACTTTCAAGACTTTGAATGTGGCTCTGCAAGGGATGGCTGTCAATGTCCAGGACTAATTTAAAGCCACACGCCTCAAGATAGATTTGTGGTGTAGCCGACTTATATCACAGAGGATTTGACAGTTTTCCAACACTCGCAGATTTTATCCTTGTTGCTGGAGAGGAAGTGGATGAGAGCACAGTTGCATCCTTCAAGCAACATCTGCAAGGGATGAGGGATTGAGTGGATCATAAATCTATGTGGGGATAAACTACATATTGAGCAAGTCAGTTCTAAACTTTCACCAAGACAGGTGGACAGCCTTATGGACATTGCATCAGACACTGAAGACAACTTTTTGAGGGAGAAAAGTTTAACAGATCTTTGGCTCCACATTTAACCTGAGAATCCTACAATGGCTGACTATGCTCTGAAAGTGTTGATGCCATTTCCATCCACCTACAACTGTGAAGTGGGATTTTCTACACTTGTTGACCTGAAAACAAAGTGGTGCAATGGGATCAGTGGGGACTATGATGTTTCTGAAAAACTCTCCGGTTTGGAGCTGGACATTTCTTCACTCATAATCCAGAAAGTAAAACGGCACCATTATTAGGATGGAAAAAAGTAGACAATAAGTGAGTTAAGTGACTGATATTATTTTAATTTTTGGTTATATCCAAGTGTTATTGTGTTATTGTGGGGGTAGTTTCAATTTAGTTGGTCTGTGAGTGCTTGTTGAATAGATTAAGTGGTCCTCAGACTTAAAATGTTAGAGAAACACTGACTTACTTGGACGTTACAGCAACTCTCATGTACTAGCAGTAACATCACAACAGAGTTGCTCTCGTGTGACATCATCATTTATTATTGGAGTACACTTTTGTCCTCCAACAGGAAGTGCTGCTTTCCCCCTTATACATACCAGGAACAACCTCTGACTTATTGCGTCAGTTTACAACCAATAACAGAGACTTCAACATAAATACGAACCCAAACCTAACAAGAACATTTCCACAATCATAAACATGGTAAACGGTTGTGAACATTGCATACATATTTGCCACAAGATTACCCAGCATCCTTTGCAGCCCACACATTTTCTCTGGGAGGCTACAATATTGTACTAAGGTAAAATTATTGTCTTTCCACATTTGTACACATCTCAGAATTGTTTCAAATGTAGAGCTACAGATGAACAGACATTAATGTTAGCACAAGCCTTAAACTGTCTCTCACAGAGAGAACTTTGTGTTTTGATAAATAAAGTTAAACAGAGACACACAACTTTGCGTTAATCTGGGGCATTCAAATAAGCCTTTTAGTGTTAATATTGTTTAATTATAAGAATTAAAACAGCAGAAACACAAGTCTCACAGAGCCACTTGAAAGGCTGTGCACTCCCGTTGCGCCACGCTCTCCCACTGTGCGGGAAGATGTGTTGGCAGTGTATGTATGTGTCTGCTCTGATCACTTTCATACGAAGAGCTGAGCAGCTGCTCACTCAGTTGGAAACACTGTTTGCACCTGGGCTCACCGTACATCTAATGGTGTGTCAATATTTTACATATGGGAATATAGCAGCCCCATTTTTTTATTTTGAAAAGCTCCTCCCCTGTGTATGGTTTGTTTGCTTGTGAAAATGATGAAAACTTTGAATCGCCCTAAGATGTTAATCATAGACACTGTTCAGACAGCATTAAAAGGCATTCAGTTTTAAGAGGGAAAAGATGCAAACACAGAAGGATCAGGCCAGGCGTAGTTTCTATGATCATGGTGTACTTTCTATGGGAGGAAAGGCAAGGGAAAGCATGTTAGTTATAAAAATATAATCATGGAGAGTAGAGCAAGTAAAGCCAGCAGCTGAGTGTGGAAATGTGGTCAATTTGTCCTCCAGCATTCTAAGCCTACAGTAGCATAGCTAAGGGATAACTCAGGAAACCCAAGCCAACCCTAGCTATAGGATTTATCAAAAAGGAAAGACTTAAACCTAATCTTAAAAAAGAAAGACTTAAACCTAATCTTAAAAGTAGACAAGGTGTCAGCCTCACGGACAGAAACTGGAAGTTGATTCAACAACAGTAAGGTCTGTAATATAAGATGGAGCCAGGCTGTTGAGGGCTTTGTAGGTTTGAAGTAAGATTTGATGTTCCAGGGAGCCAATGGAGAGAAGATAAAACTGGAGAAATATGATCTCTCATTCTCACTTTCATTAGAACTCTTGGAAATGTTGGATGAACTGTAGGCTATTTAAGAGTTTTATGGAGACCCAGATAATAAAGAATTACAATAGTCCAACCTAAAGTAATAACGATACGGACACATTTTTCTGCATCTACTTCTATAAAATTAAAAACAAAGCAAATAAACATGAAGACATTTCTCAGTTCAAAATGGGAGAGAGTGGAGTTCCAAGCTTTTAATCTGCTACTTTCTCTGTATATTCTACTAAATTCGCTTGTAGATTAATTTTATTCCCCTCTCGCCTGATGATCATTAGGGTCTTTGTTCACCTTGCTTTCAAGAGAGATGTTTTGTCACATACACAAAGGGCTGAATTAGATTTAAAATGACTGGGTGTCAGGCTTAATGCTCCATTGTAAGTATTAGAAAGCTGAAATTTGAGACTTCCTCTGTTTGAAGTGGTTGTTTTTTTCTATTTGACACAAATACCCTCTCAAACATCTCAGCCTTCCCTGTCCAAAAATGTGAACATTTTAGTCCTTAAAAGAGCATCCCTTATCCTTGAGGTGTGGGGCACAGCTAAGTCTTGTCCTGAACACCCGTCTCTCCTGTGTTGAGTGATGCATCTCTAAAGTGTTGTTTTTCTCTCCATGTTTTCTGAACATTTTTGTGTTACTGAACTGCATCTGAACACATCTCATTTTGTGTTTCCAAAATGTTTTGTTTCTAATTACAAATTGAATGGTGTGGTGTTTGCAGGACACACCTTTGAGGAATAGTTATCAACAGTTATTAGTACCTTATCTGCTGTGGCAAATGTTAAATGTTAGAACATTCCTTTAAAAAAACCAGACTGTCCCATCAATCTTCATTTGGTTTGATAAAATATTTCTTAATTCAGTCAATTATTGACAGTCAAACCCTGAAATAATTCACGGGCAGATAAAGTCTGTTAGCTCACCGCATGTTTTTCACCAGATTGTGGATGAGCTGCGAGAGCAGATCCTCAAGCTTCGCTTCCCTCATCGTGTTCAAAACAAAGAAGCAACACCAAAGACTAAGCGGAAAAACGTCAGCCATATATCTCCGTCCAAATCTCTGTGTGTCGCTGCTGCCAAGCCCACTCTGTCAGACCGACCCTGCGTGGTGGTGCTCAATAAGCCTTTAGAAAAGCTGCTCATAAGGTCAGTGCATGTTAGAAAGCACATTTGCATAATTAAGATTCTTATTTGTTTTAATTAATAGTTGATTTTTAACGAACCAGAACGTTGGGTTCACCATCTCTGGTGTCAACATACAGTTTGTTGTGAATATTATATTATACTTTTTTTTATATACTTTTTATTTATTTTATAAAACTGAGCTGAATACAGCACCTCAGACTGAGGAAGTCTTTCGGATGAAAGATGAAACGTTTCTACATTTGTTTTGTTTTGCTTTGTTTTGTTTTTTGAATGTCCGGAGGACCAGATTTAACTTCTTTAGATTATATTATACTGTTAACACACTGCTCTTGTTTTGCAGGTATGATAAGCTACCACTGGATTTTAGGACTCCCTTCATTTTCAACATGGATAACTTCCTGCTGCCTTCCAATAGTGCTGCAACCCTCAGCATGGCAGCCAACCGTACAGCCTCCTCCACCCTGGCCTCACTGTCTCGGTACTTTCTCCACCAGCGGTGGGTGTGGGCTGTGCAGAGCATTCATGGACCAGTGGTGACCATGCAGGCTGTCGCTCACATTCTGTCCATACTCTCTGAGTGAGTTTTGTGGCTCTTACATTGATGTCAGATAGTATATGTAAATAGCAACGACTAGAAGGTATACAATAAACTATAAGCACTGAATTTTTTAAAAATGGCACAGAATCATCTATAAGTTCATCAGGATCTTACATTAAAGGACCCAAAGTAAGGAGGAACTGTCCTGATACAAATATGTGTCGGGGCTATTAGAAAGCTGTTTATGTGGTATGGTCATACAGTTTAAGGTTTTAATAAAACAAGCTTTAAAAATTTTGTACAAGTGAAGCCCTGACTGAATGTAAGAACAGCTGTTTGAGCCTAATGTATCTCTGAGATGCTCCCAGATGTTGCAGCTTTAATATAACAATATAACCAGATGTAAACTGTTGCTTGTAAATCTGAATTTCTTTGTAGGATTCGAATTTCCGAAGGTTTTCATTTTGCTGCCACTGGAGAGGGCATCATAAACATGGTGATTGAGCTGCCCATGAAGGTAAAGGCTAAATCTTTGTTTATTATCTGAACCTCAGAATTACATTTCTGCACGGTGTATGGATCAGCTGGATTATTTTTGGTCCTTATTACGACTGAGCTTTGTGACTTCAGAGTGCGTCGGGCAGTGCAGGCAGAGAGAGTCACTCTTGTATCGTTCAGTACATACTGTTTCCACCTCACTCCACCTCCAGCAAGGACAGGTAGGACTGGACCACACCTTCTGTTTTGTTACAGAACATGGTTTAGGTTGAAACAATCTGACACTTGTTAGTTCTGTCATGAACGCATCTTTGCATTGAGGTTCTGATAAAGCCCATTTTTCCACCTGTCACTGATAGCTTTTCCACGGATGATGACAATGACACAGAAGTGGAGACTGTAGAGGTGGACACAGAGCTTAACCTGGTGACGGAGTGCTGGGTGGAACCACAGAGTGGCATAGTCACAAACTGCATGGACCAACAGCGCCACTTCCAGGGCCTCGAATACCAGGAGCTCCCACATGCAGTGTGTATACTCTTTATCCAGTGGTGTTTCTGAGACAGTTTACATTTAAGAAGTCAGTTCATTCAGATCTGACCTGTTGTGTTGTAGATCTTCCCCAGAGATTTGGCTTGTATGTCCACAATGATGACCTTTGAGTATTTGATCCAGTTGTGTCAGAATAAGAACCAGGTCTTCTCACTGCCTGTTGGACTCAAGGATGTGCAAGGTAACCAAACTTTAAACTTACAATAGCAAGATTTATTAAGTACAAATCCATGTGAATTAATTAACTAAAACCTGGTATTGGAGTCAGAATAAAGCAAATGGAATTTAATTGTATTAGGATTAAATTACAATATTTTATATAGTGTAAAGGGGAGTGGTGAAGCAGAGGTTAGAGAAGATTGGCCTGTGATTGGAAGGTCGCTGGTTCAACTCTGTACTGACATCAAAATGTGGATGGGATAGGTGAAACACCCACACCTGTCTCCACCCTCATTTGCCCGACTCTGGGCCTTTGAGCAAGGCCATTACACCCCCCCAGGGCCCCAGATGACAGCTCTCTGCTCCACACAGATGGCTGTGGTAGCTCGGTGGTCTGTGATTGCATCAGGAAGGACATCTTGTGTAAAAATAATCGCCAAGTCTTGACGACTTGGTTTGCTGTGGCGACCTCTGAATGAAGGGAGCAGCTGAAAGAAAGAAAATAGTGTAAATAAAACCAAATTATATTTGCTTTGAATTTTTAGTTTTATTATTTAAACATGTTATAAATGTATAGAAAAGGCCTAGTCTTGAGCTATTTAATTTGACTTAATAAATTAATCATTTATTTCATGCAATGCCTTCATTGTATTTACAATGTTCGATGGCTCAGTCTTTGCACCCTCTCAGCATCAGCATCCCTCCTATCTTCAGTCAGAGCAGGAGATGTTCCTCTTTTTGCAGCCAAACACTAAATAAATCTGACATGGGTGAAGCTGCGTTAAACTGATCCATGGTATTCAACAGCTTCTTCACACAGGCTCAAAGACAGAAGAACTGGGTGAAAAGAAATAAGAATTTTAACGATTAAAATGATGAAACAAAAAGCTGACAGGGCATCAGAAATGACTGTGGTCAAGCCAACAGGAAACACGAAGCCTGACCTGACAATGACTCCGAGAAACTGGTCTATATACACTGAGAGGGATGATTAGTCGATGGAAAAACAAGAAAGCTAAAGAACAAACGAGTGTCAGGTGTGTAAGGTGCTGAGAAACCAAGGGAGCTGAGGTAAAGCTGTGAGGGAATGTGACACAAAAACTAAAACATGACTGAAAACAAAAATACCAAGAAACTGCAAACCAAAATATATCACAAGCTAGAAAATATTCTTCAAACCCACAACTCTGTAACCATTTTTTTTCTGAACTGAAAATTGAACTTTCTTTTGGTGTTTTTAAACGAGTGAATGCTCTTCCTGTAGGTGTGGTTTAAGTGATACACAAACTTCCTTTTGGTGTTTTTGAATGAGTGAATGAACTTCCTGTTGTTAATTTTGAACAAGTGAATAAACTTTGTGTGTTTTTTTTAACTGATAACTGAACTTTTGTTGGTGTTTAGGCGAACATATGACCTCAGAAGACAGTATTCACATGGTTCCTTTCCAGTTTGACCTCATTCAGCTGCTCCCAAACTGTCAGCAGGTTGAACTTTTCTTCTTCACATTCAGTGCAGGTACTGTTCATTTAAATAAATCTTCAAACCAATGAGCTTGCTATAAAACTGATTCAAAAGCTGATTTAAAAAATGTGTTGTTTGTGGTTCCCGGTTTTCAACAGTTGTAGAGAATGAGGATCATATTCCTGGTTCTCCCAGTCTGCCCAATGAGCTCTTGCTCAGCCTCTTCCACAATAGCCTTGAGCAAGAACTGAGTGACAAAGAAGTCCCGTTAGCTGATAGCGACCATACTGCCTTCATACTTCACATCTTGGGGAGAGAACGAGATGGCCACTTGGCTCCGTTTTCTGCAGCTCTCATTAAAGGTCAGTGTGAGGCTCTGAGGTTCATCTGCCATCCATATTCATCAGATTTACTGATGTCTTCTTATACACCAGTTTCTTTTTTGGTTGTTCTTCAGAAGAACGTATGAAAGCGACAGACAAGCAGGACCCTGTAACATCATTCCACACCACCAGCAGCAGCAGCAGCAAGGAGGTAATGGAGTCTACTAGAAACTTATAGGTGATCAAGTTTATTACATCGATTAAACTCGGTCACTGAATTAAGATTTATGTCGGCAAATGCAGCATATGTATGAAAATACTTTTGGCGTTATTGTCCCCTGTCGCGGAGTGAAGAGGGAAATTTGAAGTACCCTCTGTCTGTCCATCTTGTGAGCTAGATTTCTTGAAAAATAAGTAAGGTACAGTACAGACTTCTCTTATAGAGGGTGACTGCATGCATTTAAGGGTAAGAAAGGGCCTAATCAAAAATTGGGTTGTATGGTTAACATCCAAAATGGCTGCCACCTTATGAGTATATATGTAAACCCTGCGAACTGGATAACTTGAAAAATATGCAATGTGCTGACTTGCATTTTGAAGTGTGGGTGCATCTAGGCCTAAGAAATGTCATTTTGGCAGGTTAAAATAAGTACACAATAATTGTTTTTATTATGACACTGTTCAACTTTGGGAGTTGTGGAAAGCTAAAAAAACACAATAATGCTTTAAAGTATGAGGCAGCTTTCGTAGGATGAATTGAACTCAGCCCTATTTTAAAGTATCAGACAAATAAAATTTTTGACGGTAAACGTTGATAAATCACTACAACTATAACTAAAATTTTTTGCCACATTGATCTAAAATTTGGTGTGGTGGTAGCTGAGGGCGATCACCAACACATAGGAAAGTCAAATAAAACATTTAAAAATGACGCCATGCGGCAGTCCTCTACAAAATTTAATCAGTCTTTCTTTGAAAGTGTTACCTTGACTATCCATGGTATGTGTTTCTGTCAAATTTAATGCGGCTCAAACGGAAGCGTGCGCCCATATTTTATATATATATATATATATATATATATATATATATATATATATATAT